ATGTTTGCTGATATGATAACGTGCGGATGTTCGATTGAGTATTCGGGCAAATAATAGGTTACAATAATTTATGACGGTTCGCGGTATTTGGCGTCCAAAGCGCATTTTAAATACAAAGAGCAAAACGTGCGGATGTGAATGCGTTGTCTGCAAATACAGAAATTATTGCCTGTTAAGTGTTAACATGAATACGGATTGTATTGTGCTTGTATAAAATGAGTTAATTGAAATATCTGCGATGTGGAAGTGAATTGTTCGGGATAGTAGAAAATGGAAAACATTAAAAAAAAAAAAATTTAAGATTATTTTTATATGAAAAACAAAACCGTTTTAATTAAAATGTAAAATCCCCAAGATGTATCATCGCAAGAGTTTTGCTACCACAACATACGATCAGCAGTCATGCGTATTTGTGAAACTTGTTAAATTGTGTTAAATTCCCTTGGCCATCTCAGATGAAAGGTCAACGCATACGTCTCTCGTGAATAAAATGGATTAAAAACATGTATATTTTAAGGAAGTTTTCCTTCGTGACCACATTACGGACGCAGTCAATTTACCTAACGTCGTTGTCTCCTTAGGGAATCTTTAAATAAATATTGAGACTTTCGTCGGCCCATTTTTTACCATTTGCTAGAATTAAGCATAAAACTGTTGAAATTAATTCATCGGATCATATTTCATTTTTATAGCTTCAATCCAGTTCAGCGGAAAATTATTAAGTAGATCTGCAGGGTGCATTAAAATCACTCCCGAACTTTAAATGGATTAAGTAGTCTGGCAAGGAAACGGGGATTATAAAAAACGTTCTTACCAGTAATTTCTGCCTGCATTACGAATATCTAGACTAATTTAAGTTTTTTATCCTCGCTAAACTACGTAAAAGCCAAGGTTCAAGTTTGTATTCGAGGCGACTGTAGGCGCTTCAAGGCAAAATGAGAAACAGGCTGGCGAATAGACTATCTGGAACGTATATAGTTCAAGCGGGATTCCTGTCTCTCGTTGTCAAAGACAGAAAGATAACTCTTGTATACCTCCAGCCGTGGACATACGAATTGAGACCATATTTATTTTGGCCGTGTTACCTTCGAATCGAACAATTTGGCTTACCTTGTCGTTTGTTGTCGTAACTCAGAGTTTTAGAATTACGGCAACTCACAGTTCAATCTTTGGATACAACTCGGTACTGCGATTTAGTTTCATTCAAACGTTGTTCAAAATGCTTGAAGTTTTGCTGAAAAAAGTTTCTGTTCCTGTCAACAGCGTAGTGATTGAGCCGACTTGGTTGCGGCCTCAGCTTAACGAATCACATATAACCGGTGGTATTCCGATATCAAACAATGGACATGATCAATCAATTTTCGAATGAATACAATTCGTGAATGTTCTGTTTCGTAATAGCGGTACTATTCATTAGAAGAGAGTCACCGTAAGATAACTTTTGCCTCTTCTCTTATAGCCTCTCTTGAAAATCAGTCTCAGGAATCGGTCTTCATTTTTCCATTTCTCTAACAGAAGCAAAGCACGTGTATTTTAACCAGCTGCTTGAGTCATACCCTTTAAGCATCGATTCCGAATTCATTATATTTCCACATGGAGGGGTGAAATTTTTCACAAAATTATATGTTCAGTCCGGGCGATGTTATTGCGCGGTTGAATATTTTCTAAGACCGTGCTACTGATCAAGATCCATTTAACATTTTCAACCATTTTTTCAAAAAGCGCAAAAAAAATGAAATGTTTAGCAGACATGCACATCATAGGTATATTGGATTACGTTATTGGCATTACCACGTCGCTTGTGCTTTAAAACGGAACTAACTGTGCTAGTCTTTGCCATCGTTTCAGAGGTTATCACTCCCAAGTCGAACATACTCAGATACTATTACATTGTTTCCTACTTTGCTAATCATAACCTTTACTGCGAGCCAACGTGCCCCCTACGTAAATAGAACATCCCCACCTGAACACAGCGTAGCTCATAAGCTCGCTGCCATTTAATGGAGCTACAGGAATTATATATATCTCTTTATTGGTGGCTCTCTTTATCCTATCTCAGCATATATGTGTTTATTTTAAGTATGTGGGTCGTGATGAAATATTCTCTGGCGTATGTTGCTTTCGTAATGGCATCTAAAGATCCAAGCCATTCTTTTAAGTAATAACATATATGGACACGAACAGCTTTTGCTGTATTTAGCAACTAGAAATATAACAACGCCTGATACTTTGTATGTGGATACCTAAGCTGATATTAAATTTTAGCAAACGTGAACTAACGTAATTATGATCATATTGCACCTAATGCTGATCAAAAATGCCGATATGCTTCGACGTCGAAATATTAACCAAGTTAACAAAATTAATACGCGATCGAATCTCGAGATTTTTATGGAAAAGGAAAATTTTCCTTAAACAAATAGTTGCACCGGAATGAAAAATAAACCATACGCTTGAAAAATCTCTCCTTGCCTTTTGTTGATTTATTCCAGGAAAGTTTATATGTGTTTATCAATGTTGATAAATGATGATACGTTTAATGTAAATAAAATAAATGTGTTTATGTTTGCATATATATCCGAATGTATATATTTATACATATGCATGCATACTTACATACACATTGGCCATATAGGAAGTTTACTAAAATAGATAGCGAAATGATTAAAACACGTAATAAACTACACGTAGTAAACTAAAATAAGGACAACTCTTCTACTTCAACAGTGAGAAATTATTTAAATACCAAGTGTTTCTTGTTTAAATAAGGATTAGAAATTTAATACACGCTTACGCTTAATTTTTGTAAAACAAGTGGGAAAACTTAATCTGTTCGAAAGTAAAATTTTTCGTAGCTTTTGTTAAAAAACTTTCCATAATTTCCTGGAAAAACTTGTTTGTGTGTAAAACAAAAAAGCCTAAAAGTACAACAGCAGATGTGTCACAGGATAATGTACCGACCTGAGCATTTTGTGTGGTTTACTAGCGATATTTTCGAGCGTCTACCTCATTTCGAAAGGGAGGTTTCTTCTTCTGTTTTTGTCTACATCTCAAGAAGCTAGTCATTGCAAGCTTTTGCGAAACAAACAAAAACAAAAGAACGTTCATTTTAATGCTTAACAAGTTGCGGGCTTTGAACCACACCAGCTGTAAGCTTATCCATTTTGAAGTACGATCTTAAGAAAAGGAAATAACTTTAATATGGTTGCTGTTTATATTATTCGTAGACTAAGCATGTTTCAGTGATTCCCAATGTTTGGAGTGCTACGCCCACAAGGAAAAAAGAAAATCTCGTCGCGCATGCGTTTCTTCTTTGTGTTCGGACATGAATTTCGGAGAATTTTCTGGCTTTTTCATTTACATTTTTTTTGAATCTTATAAGTCGACCAAAGTAAACTCTAAATGAGCTCTTACAGTTTCATAAACAACTAAAATGCAGCATTCTTCAGAGTCTTGGCTGGCATCGTCCGAGCTAGGTAATCACAGAAAATGGTTTCAATCTTGGAAAAGACTTTGCCAAATAATGAAGAAAATTAAATTTGTTCTTAGGTCGTGAGCTCGTAGTGTGAACGTAATTTAATCAATAAAAATTCTTTAGTTCTCTTCGAAAATGAGCAACTATAAACACACACACACACACACACCTAATGCATGTATATACATCATAAGTGTGCAAATATATATACATAAAGAATTTTTGTTAGCATGTGACACCCCAAATAATACCTTTTTTCACCATCCTTCAACCGAGACATGGTACTGATCACCTACACAAGTTGTGATGCAGGGCATATTAAGGTTGTTCATTGAAAATGACTGAAGACCTCTTATTATTCCGATGGATTCAGAGTTACTTTCTGTCTGTCCGTCCGTCCACGTGTTCCTGTGTTCAGCAAGCTGGTCGAAATTCCAGGTATTTTATTGAAACCAAGTACACTCACATGTTTTGGCTTAAGGGCAAATTCTCAAGAAAATAAATTGAATCGGACAATTTTCGCCCTCATTACCCTTATAATGCCTCATTTTGAAAAGACGTTTTGCGAAAGGCATTTGCAATTCTCAAAATTTCTCTGCGCTACTTGCTGAATAACACTGTTTTGGGATACTAAATTTATGTGACAAATTTGAATGAGTGGCCCGTATAATCCCTGTAATGAAAACTAAGCCTTTATTTGAGAAAAATATCGCATAACGATAACTTGATTTGAAAGCTAACTGCGTCAAAATTGGACAATGTTGATCCGCTTTGCGAATCCCGCATCATTAGGGTTTCTTTGCGTGAAAACAATTTTGGCACAAAAAGAAATGAAGTTCAATCTACATACATATATATATGCGAGGATGGGTGTTAAGTAGTCGGCTTAAATCAAATGTTTCGTTTCCCTAATAGCAGAATTTTTACGACAGAAGTTAGCAAAGCGCGTGCAGCATATGTATGTTAAACACTCAAAAGAAAAGAAATACGAAGAAGAAAGCATTTTGTTTTGTGTGAAATTTTAGCGCTTTGGAACTTATGGCTGAAATACACCGTAAACTCGTAAATTTTGCGAATGCAAATTATTTTAATCCTTTTCTGAATGCCGTCGTTATTTACAAAGGATGGGAGAGCGTGGCGTTGGCAGAATAGAATTGTGCGTACAGACAAGAAGAAGTGCACAAGCCCATAAATTTACATTGCGACGTGTGCAGGGTGCAGTTTATTTTAAGTTCTCTCTTTACGGATGACAATCATAATCAAATAAATAGAACTTCTGCTCTTTATTGTTTTTTTTGTTTTTTTTTGTTTTGGAACGATGAACATCGATATTTGTCTTGTTGCATTTATTATCTGTGGTGACAGAGCAAACCAAAGCGTAGTTGTTGACGTGAACCAACGATTGTAGTAGAATTCAACGAAATGTAGGTTAATTGTATTTCACTTTTTTTAAGCGACCAAGAGCGAAAATACATGAAATTTTGTTATTTCCTAAAAAGGAAATTGGTTTTTAAACCCTTGCTTGTAGAATGTGAAAGAAATACCGAAATTTGAATAAAAAATGTGGGCGAAAAAACAAAAAATAAATAAACGTTTGCTTACCTGCCCATAGTTCATATGTGTAACTGTATATGTGTGCATGTAGCTGCCTACAAATGTAAAATGTAAACGAATACATTTAGCCTCCAAGTGATGCTTACTTTGAGCAAACAAGGTAAATGGCCCCCGATATAAAATTTAAAAGCAAGAGAAAACAAATAACTAAAATTTTAATTACTTCGCGGACGTATTTACTGGTAGGCATGTTTGCATATACGTATACTGGTATGTGTGCGCCCTCGAAAAGAATCCTTTATAACGAATATTGCTGCTGACGCTCATATAATGCAAACAAGTCAAATCCTACCTGCCATCGCATTAATAATTTGCCTGTGCAAAAGTATGAAAAATCTAAATATGTAGACAAAAACTGAAGAAATCAAAAATTGATTAAAAAATTTTTTGTTCCTTTGGATGCTAATCATTTATTCGTTATTAAAACAAAACCACCAAAACCGTTACTGCCTGTCCCCATCTTTTTGCCGGCAGTATCAACAATATCGATATTATCATCGTTGAGATCCATCAGAGTAATTCAAATTCCATCAAGCATATCATAACGAATGCAAACGCGCAGCTGACAGCATAGGAAGCAGAAACACGACCGCAAGGATAATGGAAATTTTACAAGCGAGAACTTTACTCTCGTTAACGCTGCTCTTCATCTTTAATATAGTGATCGGTGAAATTATTTTGCGCATAGATCCTTTGGGTAAGCGAGAAAACATTCACACATAACACAAGTCATAAGATTCAGTGGACGTTTTATAAATACATATGAAATTGGTGAACGGCAACATTTTTGTTTAATAACAATCACATATATATACACTGACACACAGACATCTTTATGTACTATGAATACCATATAGTTTATCCTGGAATATTTACCTACATACATATACATCCGCGCTACTGCGCTGTAGAATCTTTCTAGCGACTTCGTTCTAATTATGATGCTTTTTTTTCAAAACAATGACTTTTAATTAGTTAAAAATTCACAACCACCGCTTTTGAGGCTGCAGCTTAATTGCATATAATATATATTATTTTTCAGAAACACAGATATACACATGCAAAGCTTGCGAAACGAGATCAGAGCGAAGAGAAAAAATTTGAAAAATTGCATTCGCATAGAGCTGGTTTAGTTTACGCGGTGAAATATAAATTTGCACAAATTTGGAACTGCCGTAAAGACTGAGAAATACCTGTTACTATTTGAAACGCTTGCGATATTATACAACAAACGTAGCAAAGAGGAATGACAAAGGATAAGCGAGCGTAAATCGACGCGTTTTAATATATCCTTAAGTTTATGCATAGAAAGGCTATTTCCTCAGTTTATAGTATATTTAAAGGACAAATAAAAATATGCATATGCCTAACTGTATATGGGTTGAAAATTTTTCATAGATTTTCGTGCGCTTATCGATATCAGTTTCATCGGCGAGCAACAAAGTATTATCTCTTTGAAAAAGAAGCTCAGTTCCCTTGACTCCCACACTTTACCCTGTTTAGGCTTTGTTTACATATCTATTGAGTCCACACGTCGTTCACTAAAAGATAGAATTGTTGTAGAGTTGACCAGAAGTATTCCTTTTCCCTGATAAGTACTTTTCTTTGTGTTTCTTCTTTAATGAACGAGCAGAAGTACCTGAGATTATTCTTTAAGTAAAGTTGTACTTTCTCTCATGCTATTAAAACCTGAAAATTGCATAATTTCCATGCGTAATCAAAGGCAGTTTAAGAGGTCACAGAGCGGATTAGAAGTTAGTGACAATTTCCATTCGTTCCGAATAATTCGAATTCTTGCTCGATGAAAATGAGAGGATTGATTATTTAATCTGCGAAGCCGTTTAGGATGGCGTGTTACTCTATTGGTTAGTTGCGAATTTATTTTTTCTTCTTTAAGCCTTGCCAATCACATGAAAGGTTTTCTTTCGGGAGAATGATAAAGTTGTCTCATTCGTGTTCTCGTCATTACGATTTTTCACGGAGAAATGCGGTTCCCCACCAGCGAGAAAACTCTCCGGAATTTCTCTATTTGCATAAAGATGCTTAGTAGGCCATGACTTCTGCGATTGCGTATCGATTATTTTCTCGAAAACAGAAGAACACTGTGCAGATTTTGTACTTATTTAAAGGTTTGGTAAAACTCAAATTACTACAAAGTCACAACTAGATCGTCGTTTAATTGAGAGATCGGTTCCAACTCCTATACAGTCACAACTTGGAAATATTTTCTTTAGTCGTTTTCATCTGTCAATTTGAAATGTTTGCTAGCCCCTGGCTGGTCACACTCGGTAAATTTCAACTTGCTATTTAAAACGTAATCGCAACAGAGAAATATCGAATTGACGTCGAAAATACGAGTTTGACTACAGCTTGGCTATTCACGCCATTATACTGAATGTTGTTTGCTGGCCTCTTTTGGGATTAACCATAACAATGAAAAAGGATTCTGGCTTTTGTTTGGCTTTCTATTTCTAGCTTTTTTACATATTACAATTAATGTGACCTCGCACTCAAATTGTTGTCAACTTTTGCGCAAGTAAAAGAAAAGGAAAACTATTTTATGATAATTTTGCTTGAAAACTTTAATTAGGATTTTAATGAAAAACATTCAAATATTTTGAATTTTACTAAGTATTCGTTTAAGGTTTTGTAATTTCAAAATATCTCAGATAGGAAATTTTGTACTATCAGTAAGGCTACGGTGTTTTTTTCTTTGTGGCATAATTTTGTGTATAAGAAAACTTGGCTTTTTTCGAGAGAACGTTAGAGAAAACTTAAAAAGTGACATAGCTTTGGTCATACTCAAGCCATCCAACAAAACATTTTTTATAGTGTACAGGCCGCCATAATTATCTCTAGACGAGGCCGCACTGTTTTCTGTGGCTGATGTCTTTTCAAAGTTTGTTAAACTATGACGAACTGAAATTATCTAACAAACTATTTTATGTTCATTTTGAGGGCAATTAAAATTTGTTGAAAGCTTTTTTAATAACCTCTCAAAATCAAACACAAGCACAATATTTGATGATTAGTTTGCATAACGGCTCCTGAAATGCCAGCCAATATATAAAAACACAATTAAGAGACTTATATGCGATTTTTCAATGTTCATCACTTGCATCAAATACTTGTCCGATTGAAAACCATCGCAAAGATTGTCAGATCTCTTAATGTAACAAAATAAGTGAAATACATTTAATCCAGTTATCGGGAAATCATTTCTTTCTTTGAGTTGTGTTGAAAAATCTCAAGTGTAATTACTTTGCGGCTTTCTTTGAATGTTGTTTAGTTTTCAAAGGCTCAAGACGACTGATTCTGCTGCTTCTTTGCACATCGAATTGGACCGAAAGGGAATTCGGGGTAGTTCACGCGAGTCTAAAAATAGCTTTTATTTAATATCAATATAAAATTTAGAAGCAATTTTATCTCGGGCATATCTGTTAGTCGTCTGTTAAAGACTTGTCTTAATATCTATTTCGACCACCCGCGGCACGAAGTTTTATTTAAATATTATTTAAATTTGATGTCCGCTTTAATATTCTCTTAGCAAAACGATTGCCAAAGTTATTCATTTCTGCACCGATCTAGGTTACGTTTTTAGCTCGCATGCATATAGCTTTATGTTCATTTGGCCATGAACATGGATTCATATCAGGCGTATGCATGCTCTTTTCCTTTTTTTTCTCGTTTATTTATTTATTTTTCGTTAATTTTGAATCTTATTTTAAATTAGTTTTGCATACTTTCAATTTTTTTTTTTTGCTTTATGTATATATTTTAGCTCAGCTGATACCACTTTGTAGCTGCGCTTCATTGAATAAATAAATAAAGAAAAAAAAGAGATGCGAAATGAATGAAACAGTACCTCTTTAGTAATCTAAATAGAGAGAATCGTTGAAAAGATTCGTAATTAAACTAAATTTAAAAGACGAATTTTAAAAGATTTTGAAGACATAGGAGTGAATATAAAGGAGGATAAAAGAGGATATATTTCTTGCAAAGAACCACTCTTGATTTACGTCTCTCAAAAGGGGAGAAGGTACCACTTAGACTTAGAAGACTTTAACAGGTAAAAATGAAAAACCTTTAGCAGTTTTCACGTATTAAAATTTCCTGTATCCATTGTCTAAAGTGGGCAGAAATTTCATTTTTCTCCAATACTAAGCATCATTATTGTGATGATCAGCAATTATGGTTAGAAGGGTAGTGTTGTACTCTACGCTATTAACGATACAAGGATATATTAAGTATGTGCGGATTGCAACTCCCCGAAGTTTTTTACTTGTTTTCTATAGTGTCTTCTTAATCTTGCATCTCTTGTTTTCCATTTCGTCCACTTTTCATATAAATTTGCGTGTTGCATGTTGGTGAAAGGAACAAATAGATCGGCCTAAAAATGAACTGTTTTCATAGATTATCTAAATGGAATTAAAACGCAGCAGTTACGTTGAACAAATTATAACTTTTAGAATATTGTTGTTGTTACTATGAATTAATAATGACAAAACTAAATTAAAACAATTTGCATAAAATAAACAAAAGTGATATGAATCAGAAAAAAATTTCATGTATTTTTTTTTTTTTTGTGTGTATACTTGTATGTATATGGCGTATTATAAGAACATACATGAATTTATATCTACTAAATAATCCTATTTGTTGTCTATATTATGTGTAAAAGTCATTGCTCTAATGTAATAACATCATAAAGGGATATTAACATTTATTATATTTCTTTGTTGTATTTCTTTTTTCTCTTTTCATAAAAAATCCTCTTATTCTACTCGTCGATGGCCTTGTTCTTGCACTGTTGCTGGGCTTATTATAAATTACATGCTTCTGTTGCTTTGGGAACGACTGGGGCATTATTTATTTTACTTTTACTGTTGATGGTGCTGGCAACAACGTAAACTCGCATCGAGATGTATCATACGATAAACAATCTTAAACTGAATATAAATTGTTCTTCTGTTTTGTCGTGTCATCGCTGTAATACCACCATTACCATGGTACGATGGTAAACAATCAACCAAATGCGCGCCATGCTGTGCTCCTTGATTGGTTCACATACATTTTGGGACATGATTGAAACGAATTATTTTCCGGTTTAACACTGAATACACTTCGCGCATAACAATCGATCATTGGGTCTATTGGTTGACTGATGAATGTCGAATGCATATCACGAATTTTGCTGATAATGAACGGATATGGATTTTTCATGAACTTAAATTGCCCTATATACTATCGCTCTGCTGCCATTACAACTCAATCAAACAACCGTCGAACCAACCGTGACCGCATTATTCATATTGCAACGCAATGGTAACGATGCCAATGAAAAATATTTCGCCGTATGTTACCCCATATGCATCACTCTCTTGAATTCTACTTTTATTTACCTGCATGCCATATACATTGAATGGTAAAATACGTTCACACACGCGCATACAACGCACACACACACACACACACATATATATATATATATATATATATATTTATAATTGCATTGGATACGGAAATGCTTCCACATACGCAATATATAAATATGGAACATTTCGTATATTCAATCGTGCAAAATGCAAAAAAAAAAAAAAAAAAAAAAAAAAAAAAACGCGCCCACACAAAAAATGCGGGCAAATGTGAAATTTGGAAATTTTACAGCACTTTTATCAGCTACATTGCGTACATATCAGAAGGCTGCATGTGACACGGATCAGGTTGTAATTGCATGTCCTCGTGGGACCAGCATATCCATCGAATTTGCACAGTACAACAAATTCATAGCCAAAGGTAAGTTGACCAGTACTCATCGCCAAGTCATGCATCTTTAATTTTTTTCTGCATATTTACTGAACTGAAACTAGTTGTTTTCTTCTTTTTACTTTTGTTTTAATTTTTACGGCCACTCCGTGTCTTTTTATGCTAAAAATGATGATTTATTCGCTTTTTAATTCAGTAAAATAATTCGTCCTTTTTATTGCATCTAACAGATGGCATAAGTATTGACGAATTATGCCCTACGAACGGTGATAGCAATCAGGACAGAGCTAAAACGAAACATCTATTGCGAGGTTCCACATTCGGTTCGCATACTCAAAAAGTGCCAGCGAACCGATATGCAAACTCCGGTCATTTACCCGAAGCATCAACCAGTTTAAGTGCGACATCAAATGCATCCGATTTATCGACTATAAGCAGCAGTGACAGTGAAGACAATGCGCCAGAGAATTGCATGTGGCCAAATGCTTTGCAGGTACGTTTACATATGCAAATATACGATTGAGCGAATGTGTGTTGATGTAATATAAAATTCACACGCTTTTTACCTGAATTATTTACGAAATTATTGTATAATTTACACTTGTGTACATGCAGATGCATTTGCGTTTGCGTTTGTAGTTGAGCAAAAACTTTTATTCAGAATTATTGTAATCTCCGCTACACGCCCTACTCTACTATCAGGCATCAGGTGAAAATAACTTCAAGTCAAATTACTCTTATAATTCATGAAATGAATAAAAAATAGAATAAATGCTAGGGAGTGATTTATTTTAAATTCATGATGCTTTAGTGCTTAATGATTGTAGTTTTTCCGCTCGCTTATTTAACTTGGGTGACACTTACAATATGCAATCGCTAATTTTTTGATTACTTCTCAAGCAAGTTTGAAGTTTCATTTTATTTTTTGCTATCGTGAAGATTTCAACAATAAATCGGACAGACAGAGGGGCAAACTTAAATCGATTTCTAATTTTACGCTGATCATACGCACGTAGAATGCAGTATTTCCTCAACGGAATGGCATATCGCCAGGAGTTGGAAAAAAAAACGTTCCTAAAAATAATTACTTACCCCCGAATAAAACTGATTTCTTGCTAACGTAAGCCTGTGGATAACAAACAGCAAAATAATAGGACGGACAGATGGACAAACTTGAGTTGATGTTCTATTTTAAGATGATCATATACACATATGTAAACCATATAAACTTTGTATGGTATCTCGCCAGGAGTTAAAACAAAAATATTTTTAAATACAGTTACAATTCGTTACTACCGAACAAAATTGCAGACGTGTAGAGAGCATTTTAATTTAATCACGCATGTATGTATATTTTAATTAAATTGCTGTAAAAATGGAAAAATATTTTTATTCCCTGCTCCGTCATAATATTGTATTTAATCACAAATATGCTTTTGAAGAGGAAAAACTTTAGTTTAAAGGTAAAATGCGGGACAATTGAAAATGAAAAGCTTTATAAAACATTCAACTTAAATTGTTTTATTTTGAATGCAAAGTTGAATCTTATCGTGTTCTTGTTCTTCACCTACATTTATAGGTAAATTTCCCATCTAAGAAGTCTGCGGTAATCTGTGGGTCTTTGATTTCAATTTCAATTTAATTTGTCGTAATTTCCAATGTCATGTTGGCGAGTTACGCACAAACTAATCAAAGATGCCAAGCTCTTAAGGCCTGATTGTACTAAAACAATATGAAATGGAGTCCTCTAGCGTTGGTTGTGTAGCGAAAAAACAAAAAACAAAAACTTAAATTTTTAGATAAAACTATATAATAAAAAATCAATATTGTTTAATTTAATAATTAAAATTCTGTCGAACTCCTTAAGCTTTTTTGTCTCACGCTGCGCTCATTAATAGTTGTCGACGCAAAGCTGTCTTAAGTTTGTGTGTAAATGTAATGAGCACTTAGAGGAGAAAAAAAATAATGTGTCGCAAATTAAGACATGAGTGTTTGACGGGGATGAAAGAGGTTTCTACATTAGGGGATATCTCTGCTTACATAAACGGTACGTGAAAAATATAGAGACGTTTTTCGAATTATGCCAACACTTTCGTTAATAATTGCTTTCTTTTGGGAAGGTAGAGTAACAATTCCTTGTCTCGATATTATTAATTCGATTTTATTGTATATATTTCGAATCAGACCTTCACGGTATTCTGCAATGGCCCATTAGTGATTGTGCAAACTGAGAATCATATATGCACTTTCCGTCCAAATTTATAGTTGGGTAAAGTCTTTGGAAATTTCAGCTGATTTTCGAATTTGACAAAGTCGTTTCCAGCCAGCCCTAGAGTGAACCTCAAACTAAAATTATGAGATCCTAGTTAAAGAAAAGGCAGACAACCGGAGGATTTCTGCTATTTTGCTTAATGACTCAGCGGATGGATTTAAATGTTTTTTACTTTAATCGAAGAGTAATATGCCTGCAAGGTACAGGACGCCTGTTTTTATGTATCTGAAAAGTCTACGGTGGACTTTTATTGGAATTACCTAAGGCCTTTTTCCGCAAAATATTTTCATTGGCAGAGTTTCTGGTTTCTAGAAAGCCTATGTCATATCAATTTTAAAAAAAGATTTGGTTGACATCCTGCCAAGTTTTGGGAACTGTTGCCGTTTCAGGAAATTTTTGTTCCTGTTTATTGATTTTTGGAGAGAGAGGAGGATAAATACATAAAATTTACATTGTACTATGTAAAGTTCGGAAATAATTATTATTATTATTATTATTAATTTCGCCAGAGAAATAAATTCTAAGACTAAACTCTTAAAAGCACTAGCATCTAAGCCTATCGGCCTTTATTAAAAACTCTGCCGCACTTGAGATTCGAACCCACGACCACTGAGTTGCTAGTCGAGACTCTTGCCTACTCGGCCACGCAGGCGGATTCGGAAATAATTATTTGAGGGGCGGCGCTTGTTTTTATTATTCACTAGAATTTTTTAAAATTTTCAAGATATTGACTGCACTAAGAGAGCAAATTTTCCATATTTCATAGTAATATTTAGATTTCAATTTCTTAAAAAGACTTCAGCCTCCATAAACAAGAATTTTAAGCAGAGAGCAATGTATTAATTTTTTCAATTTCCTTAGGATTTTAGTAGAAGCAGTTCTTGATTTGAAATGCTTCACTTATAGAAATCAATATTTTGTGCTCAGGACTTAGTTTCCATGCCCACGACCTATACAAACTTCTACAAATAGAAAACTCGCCAAGTACGTTCACACAAACCCCATATATTACGTAACTAAAATTGAACACCTATTAATTTAGAGCAACATTTTCATTTTCTACTTTTTTTATACGTATATATTATATATAAATTTGTGTGTAGTTATTATTGTTGCGGTTAATGTTATCTTTATGTAGTACTCCTTGCTTCAGACTGTTGTTGAAGCCTGTCAGAAAAAGAAACACTGCAAATTTGATGGACGACCTCAATTTTATGGCTTGGGAGCAAGTGGAGTGGGCGATACCAGTGGGACGAGCAGTTATCATAGCAGCACAACCAGCAGCAATAGCATCAATGCCGATCCATGCCCCAAAAAGAGAAAAATTGTTGAAGTTGCATACAAGTGCCGTCCATGTAAGTAAATTATCTGCATAGAACTACCGGAATGAAAGATCTCGTAACTGTTATGTTCTACACACATGAATACGAATTTCCCTTTTTTTTCCGCTTCTGCAAACAAAAAGAAATATGAGCGATAAAGGTCTAAAATATTCGTAAGTATTCGGGTTGTCGTAAACCCGCGATTACCAAGCCAATGTTCACGGCTTCAAATCTCTGGGCGGTAGGGTATACTTGGTCGTAGGTATAGTGTATAGTGTAACATCGTACAGTCGTTAAATCTTTTTGCTTACCTTCGTCATTTCTTCATACTTAGTTAATAGCAAATTTGGATTACTTAACAATAAGCATTAATCTAACATTTTTAATTCCGACAATAAATGCACCATTATTCTCTGCATTCGATCTAAAATGTTTTCTTAAAAGGTTAAAACGGCCATTGTGGTCATTTGCATCTGCATGCATGACGAGCCTTAAGTGTCTATAGATCACTTGTATGTCAATGTGTTAATGAGAAGCCAACCAGCAGCAACATATATGTGGAAAAAATATTTTGTTTAAGTCGAACAAGTCCATTCTAGGTCATCATAGTTTAAATAACCTCTTAATTACAATAATTGTCAAGTATTCAAGCTTTAATACTCATTACGATGCAATTTCACTCTCTTTAGTATATTGACATGACGCAAATATATAATGAAACCCCGGCTGCGAGCAAGAGAAATGTTATTAATGGAAAATTTTTGCTAACGCTTCTCCTTCATTTCTTACAAGCCGTCGAGGTTTTGGAGCTCGCTTCGAGGGCACCACTACATGGAGAAAGAAGGAAAATTGGCTTCTTTTTACAAGCAATCATATTAAAGAGAGAGATTTTATCTAAACAAGTTTTCTGGAAAAGATGAAAGCAAAAGGAGAAAGGGAAAGGATGGACTGAGAATGCATAATTAAATTGGTTTATAATACATTGGACAAGACCTAAAAGAGAGGAGTGAGCATAAGATTTTCTATACAATCTTGAATAAACAAAGGAATGGTTTCAGTTTTGAAACTTCAAGAGCTATGACTTTTTTATTATGCTTACCTCTTATTTATTGCAAGTTTTGCTTTTCTCTTTTTTTTTCCAAGGAAGTTGTTTCTTAGTTTTTGCGATTTAAGTGGAATTATGTATTTCATAACAGAATTTAATAGATTTATAATTTTTTTACGATGTTGATATTTTGCTGTAAAATTACAGTAAAATGGATTGTTTATGAAAAGTTCTAAACTTTTATTGCGAACAATAAACTGAACTTTACAGTGGCATGCAGGAGAAATCAGAATTCGTACGAAATTAATTTTTATGTGAGAAGTTAGGAGCATACTTTCCATTGAATCGAAAGTGTACGTGCATAACCTTTTATTTTGATTTTGCATAAACTATTTTATGTATGTAAATAGTTAAACGATGACAAGGTCCTAATTTCACTACATACTTTTTAAACATCTTCTCTACATTACTACGAGTTAAAACAAGTGCATCACATGTGTATGCATGAGCGCATAAAGTCAAAAATGGACTGAAGATGCATCAAGAAAAAACAAATTAAGGCATTCTTATCTAACGGAAGTGAGATGTAATGCAATCTTTCCATCTTCTCTATTTTTCAGTATACTTTTCCATTACAGAAAGGCCATTTCTGGTAGTTACAGCTAGAAAGTAATACGTAATCCCCGTAGAGGTGCATTAGGTTTGTCTAGTATATTTAGTGCATACAAAAATATCCATCGGATATCGTCTAAATTCAAGTCTGCTGCACATTCTGTTGAAATTATGACTAGGAACCCAAACTTTTGCGAATAGTTAGTGTAATATTGATTGGTCCTAAGACTTGGTTGATAGGAACTAAGACTTAAAACTCTTCTCCACTTAAATCATAATCGAAGTTCGGCGAGGGGTACTGATAAGAAGACAAGTAAGAGAAGAATATTGTCATCTGCAAGGCCGATCATTAGATACTTTACACCACACTACGTTATGTTCTACTCACTCCAAGGATACTCTCTAATGCATAATGGCAAATTTAAGCCTTTGTACTCTTGCGTCGACTGTGTGTCCACTTTATATTTTTTACCCCAATTTCTGTATCGGCCCAGGCTAAACGTTATGTCACTTGATATTGTTAATTAAGGAGTGTTTAGAAGGCAAAACAGAAAAAATAGGTGAGGACTCTATGGTCGGGCATGGTCGACCATTAAGCATCCTTTCAACATTTCGCTTATCACCGTTATGCTCTCGTTTTGGTAATAATGCAGCAAAAATTACTCATTATTTTCATGCAAATTCATATCCTTTCCGCATATTGGAGAATACCCAAAATATCGAAGGATGTGATCCAAGTTTGGCAAACTTAATTTAATTCTTAAAAATTTTATTATTTTTCACGTTGCGTCACAAAAACCAGAACATAGAGAGTAAATATTGCAAAAAATCATCAGATTTCATTAAGGAATCTCCTCCATTCCATACCAGCTGGTGATTGATTTCAAAACATTTAACTCATGCAAATGTTACGATTCGCTTATTCACAATTTTATATGAAACTTCTTTTTGCAAACCATCAGTGGGTTATTTAACTTGCTTACGACTATTTCTCATTTATGTTAGTTTTTTAAATCCATCCACTTCATGAAAATTGCTTCGTTCTAGTTAAAGGAAACCACGAAGAAACCCAAGAAGAGAAGGGAGAAATTACTGCAAATGTAATCAGCCGGCTTTGTCTTTGATCCTTATTTGTCTTATCTATTACCGCAGGAATTGTTGTCGGCATGTATGTTGTCACAGGGATTGTATATGGAAAAGTCGTTTACACTTCACTTACGTTTCTGCAACTTAAATAAGTAGTTACCCGTTCTGGTATTTTTCAATTGATTCTTCCATGGAAAATTTAGCAATTTTTACATACATTTCATGCGACAGAAATCGAATAAATTTTTGAAGTAAATATTAAAATAATTTAAGTAAATTTTAAAAATTTTGCATGTAAATATAGCAAAATAAAAGTAGTTAGTCACGAATGCACTTGCCTTGGAGATCACGAGATTTCATCAATACCGTTTGAAGGCCACGCCAATTATTATCTGCAATCCATTATTTACTTATTTTTTACTTTATTTTATTTATTCAAGTTAGCACCTATACTCGCTTATACTAGGATAAAACCTTCTAAATTAAAGTGTAGGTGTATTATAGATGAACAAATATCATGTAGATTGGTGATCACAAATAATACCCTTATTGCAGTCTAAGTTATGATGCACTTGAGTGTAACGCACTTGATTAAAGTGTGACAGCAGAAAACAATGGAATATCAATTGTCTTACGGATTAGTTGCATTGCAATATTATTGTGTAAGCAAGCGTTCAAACCTAACACCGCTGGCAATCGTTTGCAAATTTGATGGTAGAGCGTTCCGTAGCATTATATAGCATGCATGAAAAAGTGTCTTCCAGATAATGGACTATCTTGCTGGCTGTGAATGTCAATTTTTCATGCCGACGGCGACGCTGCCTAGTGTAAAGTCCATTTAAGATATGGAACGAATAACTTTAATTATCGAAACCATGCCCAAATTATTATTCATGTGAAATAACACTTTCTTTTATCTTAGTATTTGTGGCAATTACGCGCTTATATCGGCAGGAATGTAGGAGAAGAGTGAGATTGTTACAAACGTTGTTGAGACTACGAGGATATGACAATAGGGCTACATAACATATAATACCTGTGCTACGATTTGCGGGAAGAGACTTATTTTTTTTGGACACATAAATCTGATCAAATCTGAAATCAACAGACGGTTCGGCTGCTGATAAGGAAAGTGAAGGGATTTCAATTTTTTTTTTGGTTTCAATACAACTTCCTGTAATTATATCTTATAAAAATACAACTGATTTTGGTTTCAATACAACTTCCACCGATTATTTATTATTAGAGCCGATAGCCTGTGTTGCTAGTGCTCAATGTACTTTTTTTTAGTCTAAGAATTTATTTCATTAGTCTAAAATTAAAATAATAATAATAATAATATTTATTACTAAAACACAACAAAGTTCAACTTTTTAAAATTAATTAATGGGGCTTATCGTGTTGATTAATTCAAAGTCAGATAAATAAATAATCTGTAGGTCTAGTGTTTGTGCCTTTGTACATTAAGTATGATAGCGTTGGCAAGGGATCAATAGGTTCCATATTGCTGGCCGTAAGAAAATTCCAATTGTAATATAAAAATATTGTGTCCCTCAGAGTGGCCCACTGCAAGAAGAAAGAAAGGCATTTGCCCACGTTTGCTATGTATCGTAGTATACTTTTTTGTAAACCGTTGCAGATATTTTTTTACTAACAGATATCGCATGCCCACATACATTCAAAAAATGCGCTGTTCGAAAAAAGAAATGCAAAAGTAAAAAATCGACGAAAAGTAAATCCCTTGAGTAGTGTTTCACAAAGTTTTTGTGTGTGGGAAAAAAGAGATTGTTGGGAATGCAATGCCTGCACCTATATAGTCTTATAGTGTATGTGTGTTTTTGCTTTGTGTTTAATACAGATTTAGGTGAGGGGGGAGACTACGCACACATATTCTAAGAAGTCTGTATAACTTGAATGCAAATCAAATATCATTCCAATGTTTTCGAAGAATATCAAGTGAAACTAAAGTATATGCAAATGTGTATGCGGAGTAAGGTATGTATTACAATACGTACTTACATACATACACATATATAAGCATGAGGTATCGAGCTGTAGTAAGCTCACTGATTTATTGTTTTAATTTCTTGTGAATATGTAAAATGCATTACTTGAATAGCGCCCGAGAATTCCGGAATACAAATATCAATGCGTACATATGTACTCTTCTTTTACATGCACACAAAAATCCTTTTTTAATTCTTTGCTTTGTCTATGAGTAAAGTTTGTGGTAAAATAGCAAAATGAATTAACTTAGCATTTCGGATATTTCACGTTTTCAGACGAGTTTCGTAGCAAGGTGGCTTGCCACAATGATGTGGCACAATTGGAGTGTAATCCCTATTCCCGTATAGCTGTATACAGTGCAAGTTTTGGCCGCACGGAATATGAAAGCATACAGTGCCCACAGCCTCAGGGAGTACGTGAGGAAAGTAAGTACATTCATTAAGCACAGCATTAAAACATCGAATTGCCTCTCGGAGTGATGGCGACGCACATTGCAAAAAGACTTTGCATCGTTAAAACAACTATTGATAAACATCTGATTCATTATTAATGCAATACCATCTACTTGTGTCATCTCATTTTCATTTTGTTGTATTTGTACATTAAATCGATTCGAAAAACATATCATTTTTACAACATTTTTTTATCTTAGTTAAGCAGTCGAGATGCCCGGCTATGTAAGACTTTTACGGCATGAAAGAAACTTATTCGTGTTGTAAGAATCGAATGTGCAATTGATCCACGCCTTCTGATCTCGAAATGCTTCCTTAGATGAGTACATTCGCATCTTAAAAAAGGTAGTTATATAAACATGCAGAAAGCCTGACTTTATAGCACTTGCTTAGCAAGGAAAGTCTACGAGAAAGTTGTTGAGAATTCCAGCAATTCATGTAAACAGTGTATGTGTGCTTTTACGTACATATTTTGTGTTTTATGCAATTCGATAATGAGAAGCACATAATTAGTCTTCGATTAGTTTATTTCAACTTGAATTGGGAAGACCACTCAAGAAGGTTGTAATCAAAGTTTTCTTTACCTAAATTTTTGACAAAACTCGCAGTCTCGAGAATCACGGTAGCAGCCTAAAACAAGCTACGCCAATGTATTTTTGTTTGAAAATCCTTTCAACCGAACATGAATTCTTTCTAAACGTTTCTTCAAGTGTAGGTAAGACATTAATTAGACCCATTAGAGATCTATATGACACACAAAGATCCATAAGATTTTGATAATTCAAGGAAAATTTTTTTCTCCGTATTCTAAAAGGTTCAAGGCATCTATTAAGCCAATAGGAGAAAAGAAGTCTTTCTCTGATCCATGTACTTTGGGCTCGACCCTTTATACTGATTTTATTATAAATATATGATAACTCGACCCGTTGACCATAAATCGTAAGCTAAGCTATATTCAGATTGGAAACGCACGAGCTAAGATGGGCAATACATTTCTACTTATAAGAGAGATATAAGAGAGAATTGATTTATTTTTATGTTAACCTTTTCACTTGCTTCTTTTTCTTTAAGTAAAAAAAGTGGAAGTATTTAATGTACAAGTTCAAGTTGTAAAAACGTACAGAAAAATGTGCAATTTAATTAAATATTTGTATTTTACAGCTTGCCTGGCTTCGTACGCGACGGAGACGGTTATGCAAATATGTCACGGACGACGCCGTTGCAATCTTGCAGCAGATGCCAATACATTTGGTTCGCCTTGCCATCCAAATTCGCGGATGTATCTGAAAGTAGTTTATACTTGTGGTAAATCAATCATGACGTATACTATAAATACTATTATTAAGAGAAATGGTCAATGTGCTCAGCCATGTGATTTCAATCTTACTTAAAATAGAACAAGGCATTGTAAAAAAGAAAAGCATTTGCATTTGTTACGCCTGACGTGTAGCGTAAAGCGACTTCCCAAGTTTCATTTTCTTCCTGCTGTCAATTTTTCCACTTATGAGCATTTCTAGTTAAGCGAATATTCATCGACAATGCAGTTTAAATAGCACGGAATGAGTTCACATCAGAGTTTTACTTTTATTGTCTGCCAGCGTAACGTAACGTTCTGTCTGCATGCGTTAACACCCATTTGACTTAATTTGTAATAAAATTTTAAATTGTCTGAACAAAATTGAGCCTTAATTCGTCTATTTTTTTACTACCTCATAATAATGTGCATGCACGATTTAACTCAACTAACGAACTAACTCAATTTATTGTACATCGATTATGTAATTCTTTTCCTAGTACCCAAACAAGTACTAATGGATCGATATGAGTCCGGAACAGAGGCAGACGAGCTTGAAGACTTCGAAGGCGACATTAATGAACTGTACGACGACGAGTATTACAAAGAGTCAGAGCCTATACCCAAATTATACAGTAACGCGACTGCCGCAGCAACTAGGAATAATACAATGGGAAATATAACATTTACTACGAATAGAATTTCTCCTAACGGTTCTCTTATTCAATTTGAAAGCGAGACTGGTAGCGTCAATCCCGTAATGACTCACAGTGCTGACCTCAATTTGGAAGGTAAATTTTTAAACATATTTCCACTCATTTGTCTTGTAGCTTTTCATTGTGGTCAAAGGAGAGAAATTCAAACGTACGCAACAACAAAAATTAACCACAATCATTTAATGTGTGCTAATAAATTGATTGTGCACTGTATTTATATGCACATGCAGGGTCTATTTATCGACCTGCAATCAGTAAATGGCAACAATCGTCTGTGTGTCACTCATAAAACTTGTTCATTGTGTGTCTCGTGTTAATTCCGTTTTACTTACGTCGCATATATTTTTAAAATTTTACATCTTTTATATTTCCATTCCTTTTTTTTTTGAAAAAATCTAGGAGATCAGGAGCGTTTGTTTTTTTATCTTCTATCTGCGGGCTCTATCGGTGTTATTCTGTGCATTGTAGCTGTAATAGCGAGAATTGTTGTGCAGCGACACGAAGGTTTGGGTACTGACACCCATTCAACATCGTCTATTAAAGGATGCGGCATGAGCGGGGTAGGGGGAAGCAGTAATCATGTTGGCGAGGGTGTTGGAGAAACTACGCTACCGAAAGGTTTCAGCGACGCAATTTCTGAAATAGATGCCGACATCGATTTGCAAACAGCACCAATTTCTTTGCCAAGTGTGTCAAAAAGTGGGGTAAGCCAGCGACCAAAAAATATAAACTTTTTTATACATTCAGTTACTAGGTTTAAACCCACATACATGCACACATTTTATTACATACAAACTATCAGAAATGCAGCTGTGTAAGTGTATAATATAAAAGAGAAAAAAACTTCCAACAAATGGTCAACTCAGCAACTGAAAGTACTTCTTGTGCATTCCCTCGGCTCTGCTTTTACTATTTTCCTTGTATTTATTTGTTCAGTTTTATTTTGCAAAATTTATGATGAAGTGAATGAATTGTGCCATGCGGTCACCATGAATTAAAATTTACATTTCTTTATAAAAATAATTTTTACATTTTGTTTCATTTTTGCTCTACGTTTCCAGAACTACATTACTTATACTCCGACTTCGAACCTTTATGTTCCATCTAGTGATATGGTATCGCATTCGGGCGCGCTAGACTCATTACCGCCTAATATCATTGGAAATACTTCATTATTGTGTGGACCTCGACAGTCGCCTGATGTGCTTGGCATTTCGGCTCAAACGTATGCATCCGTTAATAACTCAGCGACAGGGTCACCAGTTATGGGTGGAATATTAGCGCCAACGATTGTCATTGGCGCCGCCAATAACCCGGTAGATAGTTCTAGTAACAATGTTATAAGTAAGTAGCTTTTATATTCAAACTAATTAAGGCACTATTGATTAGAATGACAATGAAAAAAAAATGATAAAAGGTTTTGCAAAAGTTTTTTATTTTTATACCGACGACCGAGCGATGAGAAGTATATTCATTTCGACAAAACGTTTACAATACCCAAATAGGAAGCTTTAGGCTGCCCTATAACGAATACACATGCTTGATCGGTATCGAGATCTAAATCGAGATTTATTCGTGCCTGTCTGCCCGCCCTTGTAACGTCTGTGATCTTATGACAAAATCAGAACAAAATGAAGACATTCATCTTAATTTTTCGCAGAAAGGTTGGAAGTTTTTGTAAACTAGGCTTGTATTGAAAACGTCCACAGTATTGAAAATGTCCACAGTAGAATATAAATCGAAAACTCCTCTGTTTCCAAAAGCAAAAAAAAGAGTTCTTCTCTATTACTTACAAGCACAGATAAACGACAACAATTTTCATATAGATTCCGTCCGACGATCACCTGTAGAACATGAAAAAGGTGATTCATTTGCCGGCTTTCATTTTTGTTAAAGGTTGAACCAATTCTTCTAAACATATATTAGTTCTAGAAATGCTTGAGAAGTTTCGAGTTTTCACTAAATTATTTACATTTGAATAAATAACATTTCAATTGTTAGAATTTGCCTAACTACACTTTACGCTTCCAAAGAAAAACAAAGAATTTCGCTAATTTTTGGCAATTGCACGGTGCACGGTTAGGTTAGTTTTTAAGGCCAACCTGAGGAAATAAATCTTGAGGCGATGCTCATAACTTCTAGGAAAAGAGCGCTGGGAGTACTCCTCCATGCTATTCATATGTAGAGCTGTACTCTGCATGTATATAAGTGTGTAAATATACTCATTCATATTGTGATAAAATTGTGTTAAAATTTTGTTGATTAAAAATTTACGGCAAATGCGAGTAACTAAAAGACAATCGTAACTGTTATATGTTGAAGTTAGCGTCTAAATATCCTTAATTTCACGCTTTACTGACAAGACGCTCGGTGTCGGTGGTTGTTAACAAAGCATTTCACCATTAGAAGGCTGCATCTTTTTGTAGCCTCTTTGCAGCGATGGTAGTCCAAGTCAATGGAAAGGGCAAGAATGAACAAGATCAACATATCTTTTACGCAATTATTGCGCTTTTTTCAAAATCGTCTTCCAAGCGCTTTAAGGTTGTTTCTTCCCTTGTGAATGCAAGAAAATACTTTTCAATTCTCACCCAGTTTGGTTTTACTTTATTTTATTTTTCCTCACGCCAATACCAATTGCGCGTCTCAAAGGGTAGAAGTACAGTAGGCTCATCATTTTGCGATACGGATCGGAGGAATTTATACGCTTTGTTGCTTGATGTTAAATGCCATGGGGCGTGGTAGCGTCCACGCTAAGAATTATTTGCAATCGATAATCTAAAAGCACTACACTCTCGCGCACACAATTGATAAAAGCAAGGGCAAGCCTCCTGGGTCAAATAACTCTGTTCATCGTTTTTATTGCTATTTAGAATAATTTAAAATATTTTGGGTCAATTGCCATAAACTAAATTGAGTCAAAAATTTTGATTGTGTATGTGGAATCTAGAGATGACGACAAATAAGATGACGCCATGAGCAAGTCTAGCAATCGTTACATAAAGATAAGCATTCCAAAAAGGCAGGTTTTGAACATTTCTGTGTACTAATTGAGATTATCGCTGTTCGGAGCACAAAATCGCCGTTAGGTACTCTTCCTGCCTAAGGCATTGCTAATCACACCGGCTGCGTCAATCTAGTGGGGAAAAACCAGAATTCACTTAGAACAATGTAACGAAGAAAGAGAGAGGTTCATTTCATCAGACTTTTGCCACACACAGATTGCCACAGAGGCAGATATTTTTGCTTATTTATAAATGTCATGCAGCGCGTAGCAATTAAAAGAATTTAACAAGATGTTCAATACGAGGCAAACTGAGGTTACGCGAACAGTTCCATTTAAGTGCAGGAAATGCAAAATTTACAAATGTTCTTGCCACTTAACGGAAGTACCATTGAATACAATGTCGATTCCTTATAAAGCATAGCGTCGTGTAATTTGGCGTTGTTTGTTATCCTCCTATAGATGTCTCGTCGTTGCGAATGCATGCAGGTGATGTAAGCAACGAATGTTAAGTTAGATACGAAGAAAATTTAAATTAAAGAATGACATTTTTTCACCTAAATAGTTCGTTTCATCGGTTGCTTCGATGAAGGAAAATATTGACATGTAGAGTAAATTTTATTTTCCTTTTTTTTTTTTGTTTTTTTTTTTTTAATAAAAACCACGAGCTTTTGCCGAATACGGCAATTAATAAATAAATTTTAGTTTACGGGTTCAGCTGGTTTTGTTTATTTGAATAAATACATTATTGTGTGCGCACATAAGTCTTCTCTTTAGCGACGTCGCCAGTTGTATTAATATTTGTGTTCTCTTGCGTTCGCAATTTGTAAAGAAAGTGAATTCAACCTTAAATCCAATTATTCGCAATCGTACTTCTGTTAATTGAATAGTTTTCGCTGCAGTTGAAAATGAAACCTATTTAAAATCAATTAGTGTACGAATTGGTTCTATTTTCTTTCACATTCGCCTGCGTTGCTAAGCATTTTATTATGATATCTTAGTGGTTTTGTTCGTACAGTGTTAATTACAAACAAAAAACCCTCTCTTTTGTATTTCTTTATTTTAAGGTGCAGTAGTTCCCATTACTTCGCTAGCACAATATACAACTGCGCCAACATTTCGATCTGGTTATCTTATAAACACCGAAAACGTGCTGCAACGCCAACTAAATACCGCAACGCGACCTATCTCAACATCTAATGGGGAAACCTATCTTAGTCAACAATATCAAAAGCAGCAACAGCAACCGCAATCAATACAAACACCTGGTAGCAGTGTTGTCATAACAGCAACGTCTACATTAAGACGTATAAAGGCGGCCGCACATCAACAGCAGACGCAAATACTCACCGAACAGCCAACGGCACTTTCCTATGATGGAATTGCTCCTCGTACTCTGTCAACGGGTGTGCCGGTCAACTCACAATTCTATTACGAATGACAAAATTCGCTGGAAAACAAAAGGGAACAACTGCATAAATTTAAACTTTCGAAATCTTCTCCTTCCCCATCCGCGAAACACAAAAGCATTCAAAACACATCGGAGCCACAGCCCGGAGGCGGACAAAATCAGTAAATGGCAAAAATTTCACGTGAATGTAAAAATGTGTTGCATAAGCGCACTTTAGGAAGAGACAAAAATTTGTTAAAATTCAATTATTCTACCAAAGGCATTTCTTTTGCTTACATAGTCTTTGCTGACAACACTGCGAACTGTATTTAAAAAAGCAGCCCTTAACTAGTTTGTTGCCTTTTCAAAGAAAAGGAGCGCAGCAAAAAAAAGTATCGAAACGTTAACATTGCGAAATGTGTTTTCAAACAACATTTGATATTTTCGGTTTCTAGTTTAGTGCGACAAGCAATGTAACCCTAATAGCTGTGTTGATCTTCGCAGCACTGGGCGACTCCATCGTCATGCTGTTAAAAAGCGGTCTCGTTTGACAAGAGAACTTTTTAAAAGTAAGGACCACCTTCCGGTAATGTACATATACATACAACTTAAATACAGTTTTTTTTTTTTGTACATATTAATAAGTAATAAGTTGAACCTAAACAACAATGTATCTATGCACATGCAGAGACATACGCCATACTTTTAGTGCATTTGTGTACGCTCGATGTTCTCTGTAGATTTGCATTGTGGTTGCTAAACAATGGAGGCTTACAGATGTCCGTTTAAAGAGCCCGATTAAGGATTCTATGTAAACAATGGATAGCCAAATTAATAAACAGTTCACAAATGAGAACATAATCATGCATTTAACATTTATAGTACGAATTATAGATTAAACTTCTTAAAAGTCCGCCATAGACACTTAAATACTAAATTCTGCATATAGTTTGCTGCTTAATTTCAGGGTGATTCCAGGCACGCAAATGATGTCCAGTTCATTTTCACGTCCTGTAAAAGCCAAAACTTTAATATATACATACTCTGTGTGTATATATATCACACACTTCTTAGGTAATAGTCACTTCACTCGTAAGGAATATGAAATTTGGGATTGACAGAATACATTTTTTGTTTTGATAAAGTCAATATGTACTCTTTGTTGAGCATACGATGTGTGTATCTTTAATGTTTCAAATTTTGCCTTTGTGTACGCATTCGCTTGTGATCGCTTAAGGGCCAATGCTATCGTCTGAACTCGAAACCGGAACTGCCTTTTTGAAATTTACTTACGAGCGATTAACCAATAGATTGAAACAAATTTTTCGCCTAACTTAACACTCAGTGAGCTTGCAGGGCGACATACACGTGCATGATGGCTATTGACGAGTCCACATGTTTACTTAGTAACGAACCTCAAACGAAATGTGGCAAAATGTCCTGATGTTAGTTTTTCTAGTTTTTACATATAAGGTAACAGCAGGCATAAAATTATAATTTGTAATTCATAGCGGATCTTGGTGTGAAACTTTCTACAAATACTAACGGGTACTAATTAAAAGTAGATGTGAGTCATGGAGAACCATTCCTGTTATAGATGAAGGTATGTGGATTGCAAAAGGTTAGCACATGTACTTCAGGGACCCAAACAAAAGGCCCAATCGATGAATAGCGTACACTATTTTCGTTTGATATGGTGGGTAGAAAAAAAATCGCTTTAAAGTGAATATAATTTTTTTGCTTGTCCTATATGAAATGGTCTAATATTGAAAATTAGTTTTGGCCTTCGGAACAACGGCGAACGCGAACAGATATATGTACTTCAAGGCAATATCGCGTGTGTCGCGTTTCGCATTACGGATGAAGGCGAGACAGCATGATTTGAATTCTCATATCGTCGTGTAGGTGCCGCTTATTGGTATTTAATTTTCAGTTCACTCCCGAAAATCTTGTATTTGCAAATTTTAAATCTGTTTTCCTTATGTCGAAATTTCATGTGTGACCAATGGTTGCATATTCTGAAGTGAGCTACCAATCTTTGCACGTTAGTCCTTTAACCGTTTTCAATTGTGAAAACACTTGGCTTTATCCACTTTTCGCTGCATATTCTTAAACATTACAAATTATAAATTCATGGTAATCTATTCTTTGGTGATATATGCTATGAACCCTTCGTTTAAAAAGAACAAACTTTGGAAACAAATCATTTATATTCAAACACTTCTTCTTCTTCTTAGTTTCTTTCACTTCACTTTCGCACTTACTGTTTATGAATAAATGCATTCATTAAGAACTTCGATCAATAGTAATCAATAAGCACTGGCTTATCGGGGCGTCAGTAGATATACATCGCCTAAAACACGAAAGCAGCCAATTATGCTGGAAATAGTTGACACTCACTCTTAAGCTAAGTGCAAATAGAGTAACAAATAAAAGGGGAAACGTACGTATTACGAGGAATGCATTGAGCAGAGAGAAAAGAAAAAAAGGAAATTGCGCCTGTTCATGAAATTTTGCTGAATTTAAAAGGAGTAATCTTAATGGCCGCTTCTTAAGTAAATTTACATAAATATTTACGCAAATATAAACAATAGTTAATTGTAATTAATTGTGGATTCACGTTCCATGTAAAAGATTATACGGACGTCGGAGAATTTCTCAAGCGTATAAGAATGTACAATTGTGTAGAAGAATATGTGCATGCATACATACATAATAATTGATAATTATACTTATTATCAGGCCAATGTTTTCCTAGGTATGTCTGTTTGTGTGTATATAAATTTATTAGAATCTACGCAGCTATAAACAATTATTATGCAAATACGTACAGACAAATAGATAAATGCATTTAAATTCAAATTTTAGTTGTGTTTCATTAATGAATTTTCATTATTCATGTTTCATTAATGAATTTTAAACATTCTAAAGCACATGCACGTGCATAGAGAAGTGAACGTGACAAATTTGTGTGTGCACGTAAATATGTCTCTTCTCAATGAATTTGTCTATGTATTACAACAGAATTTGAATCCAATAAGAAAAATTGTGTTCAATTTTTTTTTTTAATTCTCATACTTATCACGTTTAAGAAATTGTCAATGCGTAGCGAAGGCAGCCTGGAAAACAACTTGGTTCTAATTGCTTTTTGTAATTGATTTGTGAAAGATATTTTACTTCCGACTTTTAAAAGTGGCTATGAACTGAAACATTACCAATATTTCCCACACTGCAATAGTAGTTCGTAGCGTTATGCTTTTTGCTCACCAATTTCGGTTAACGTTCTCGGTAAAAAATATTCCAGATACAAAGATTCTAATCATTCTCAATAGCTCATGCCAAGTCTCTTTTAAAAGATCTGCAATCCTCGAAAAAGTCGATCGATCGTGTGCAATGCTACGAGCGAAGTGTGTTAAGAACAAAACAGTGTTGTTTGTGCAAAAAAGCGAAGCGGAACTGACGATAGCGCTTAGTTCAGTAGGATCATTCTGTTTTATAGAGTTTCTAAATTCATGGCATCGCAGTCAATCGTAAGCATACTTTAAATGCAGTATTTTGGCATAAGCAAACTTCTATAATTTTTGTTGTAGTTGTTGCACAAAAAATGTTATTTGAAGAAGATTTGAGAAGATTTAAAATATTCTAAAGCGTTTCTTACATAAATTTTTTGTTTTAATTTTAACAAATTGCTCTCCCATGCTAATGAGAACTTTCCTCTTCACCAGCTAAATAAGAGGAATGATGAATACTTTTAGTTTTCATTTAAAAGATTTTTTTTTTTGAAAGCTTAGAGAGATAGAGATACAAAACACTTCAAAGTATGCAGTCTTAATTAAGTGTTGGTAAATAACATCTAGTTGGAAAGATAGAATTTAGGTAGCTTGGATGTGAGTTCGTAATATGTGAAAAAATTTAGTATATCTAAAGCAATAAAGATTTTTTTGGTTGGATCTATTCCCAGTTCGGCACCAACTGTCCGGTAAGGTATTTCCGCAAAGTCGCTATATGAAATATTCGTTTTTTCTACTCACTGATCAAAAGCGGAATATATATGCTTGATGTAGATGGGATTTTGAAATACTTAAAACATATGTGCGTATCTGAATGTCATGTGAAATGAAAATTTTATTTTATTTTACATTCATGGAGCTCGAAACATAAGCAATTTTAAGTCCTTTCATTACAACTATGAAACTTCAGATTTGTTTGTCCATTAGTGTAGGCTGAAAACGACGGTACACCGAAAGGCCATTTACACCTACATAGCACACGATTGCTATGGGAATAAACACCAAGATTTGTTAAAAGTTTTATAAAAAAAAAGATTGAAAAAATTTGTTTTCACATTAAAGTGTAGCTTAAATTGTTAGGTGTAGGAATAAATTCTGTGCATTGTTTGCTTAAAGTCAAGTTTGCTTGGAGTGTATTTTCTGCAAAGCTTAACAATCGAAATATTTATCACTACTACCTAGGGTTTTTGGTCTCTTATTGACTAGCTTATGAATTTGTGAACCGCCTACCTGCCACGATACGATCACGTGGTAATCGGCAGTTAAATGTAGAGAATAAACTGCAATCAGAAAGCGTTTCCAGCTCAAGTTCGAGGTCCCTTCCTGGGTTGTTTTTACTGCATGCCAAGATGCGTTGTAATAGAAATATAGTTACTTTTCGATTTCTTTTGCCCGTAAAAGGTCCATTTTTCCCAAGTGTCACACTTAGTTCAGAACTTTGTAGTAGATGATTTTTCTCTTAGAAGTTGGCAGTAGATAATTACTTTCCAAGCTGCGGTGTCGTAAAGGCTGCTTCTTAGAATCCAACGTTTTACACTTTGAATGACAGCGTGGAACCGACAGAGAAACCGGATGAAATCAATTGTAAAGCACAAAATATTTTTGTACACCTAACACATATGAAAAATTTAAACATGTGGAAGAAGTTATGTATTTGGCTAAAGCCAAATTTTTTCATATCAACCACAAACTAGAACGGGAAAGAGGAAAGTTAATAGATTATATATATTTTTTTTTTTTGGGTTTTCTACTCTTTTTTTTTTCTGCTCATTTTTACCACTAGTTGAGAAGAATGTATGCAAGAAGTGGATACGTATACGTGGATAGGTATAGCGTTTGATATTAAGGTAAAGGAAGAAAATTAAGCATATTGTTGGGCAGTTTCTTGAAAAGTTAGGGTAATAGTAATAATCCTCCGCTCTGCGATACATGGCTGGAGAAGGTCATTGAACCGCTTCATACGATTTGAGATACGATTTGAGATAGGAAAAATTTTCGTATCCAGCCGTCCGAGACACATATCAAGCTCATATATTAAAATTAGACAACTTTCTCTTAATATTCAATAATTAACACGTGGGCAATTATTTTTCAAATGAGCGTCTAGGTGTCTCTTGCCAATCGACACAAGTATGTAGGACGCTAAGATATTAAACAATACTTGAAGCAGTTATTCGAGGTGTTTCCCAGTTTGTAGCTATTGTAACGAGGACTAGACGATGACTACGTGCACGGTGAAACCTGACCAGAGACGTCCTCAACATTCTACCCTGAGAGCTTAACAAAAGACGGCAGATCAACCAGACAAGTTGATCATGTACTGATACATCTTTGCGCATATATTTCATAGAGTTTGTGATATCAGAACGGAATGATGCACTCCGCCTCTCAAGGCAAAGCGTGCCCGGGAAAGCGCAGTGAGAACATATAGAAAGAATTTGCACTATCTGCATATACTCACAAGAATTTCATAAATTCTTCGGTTGTCAAGTTTCTCTTATACATGTATATAATATTTGTACATATTGTATCATATGTGTGTAAAAGACAATATGAGTATGCACAGCTAGCAATTTTAGATGTATAGGTTTTAAGTATAATACATATGTTATGTTTGCATTGATTTGTAACAAATTGAAAAAAAGGAAATGATATCAAAAGGCATTAACACATGATAAAAAATGTAAACTTGTAAATTAATGTAAATTTATGTGTATATAAATATACATATATCCATCTGTAAGGTTGTTGCAACACGAAAACAAAACCCAAAATAAAACTCAGAATAGATATTAGATAGACAAACAGAGAATGCTCGTATCGATTACTAAACATCAGCATCTCGGTTAAGGTAGAGTTATTGCAAATATAAAAAGACATTATAATAAAATTATAATAAAAAAATATAATAAATATTATAGATTAATTGAATGTTGAAACTTTTGAAAAGATTAAAACTAACTGAATATACCATACAAACATAATTATAATTAAGAATATTGATGATGATGTACCTTTTGTAAATTTCGTTCTTTAGTAAACATGTAATAAAAAAAATTCATTATTAAATTTATGATATAAAGTTCACTTTGTTTTATTTATCGATAGCGTTTTCTCAGACCGACAATAGTTTCATCAGTAAATGTCTGTCTAAAGACATTTAATATCCCTTTCAAGTGTATACACAATCACAGTGTCATACTACATTCAAGTTCTCAGCCTAACCTAATTCAAAAAAGGAAAGAAAATTAAATCGTACACACGCACACACATTAGAAAGATGTTTTTTTTTAAGTTTTCACCAAAACCGCATGATTTTTTTTTGTTTTGGAAATTTTTAGCATTGAAATTGAAATTCTTCGAATTATTAAGCGACAGTAGTTGCTCTTTGATTATCAACCAATGTACGCAAAGATTTTTAATCATTGCGTGCAATTTGAAGTTGACTGAAAGATAAGACCTTAGAAAGTAAGGTGACGTTCAACTGCAATATCCTATAAAAGAAACATTAGAGTCGAAATTGGAAGCACATCACTTTTGAATCATACACGGTTGGTTGGTTGGTTGGTTGGTTGGCTGTTAATTATCACCTGGAAATATATAGCTTCGAAACGTCTTTATGTCAACATTATCAATTTGCATATTTGAGAAGAAACCGTGACTCAGGCTGCCATACATCTTTAGTCGGCTCTACTCACTAATCCATTTGTAAAGTTTTTATTAAATTGCTTGTCATCATTGTTAAATGTCGTCAGAAGGTGTCCTGCAGCAACGAGTTGAAATAACAAACTTAAATATATTACTACGGTCAGGAAGAGGTAAACCCTCTTAGATGAAAGGTAACGAGCATCTCTATTTACCATTAAAGTCATTCGAGTCAAAATTTGAAGCAGGTATAAATTAAATCGCCATCAACTTAAGAAAAGAATACACGCTTGGATAAGACGACGTCATTTATATGAAAATGTTTTACCACGTTTGAACGCAGTATCATTCATTCAATCGTGTGGTGCATCTTGCTTGATAAACAAATCAACAGCATTGGTTCGAACAATTGCTTTGAAAAGTTTTGATTATCATTTGTTTCACTTGCCGTAGACATCGTAGCCACGCTTATAACAGTCTTGGCTGACATAAAGGCTGCGGTGACTTCGTTAAGTGTAAAATCAGCTAAGCAAGGGATTGTATAGAGTGTTGTTATCATTGCAATCGAAAAGAGTAGCTAATCATGCGGAGTTGTATCAACCCAAAGCGGGCATTGCTAGCAGGGTTGACTTACTTGATTGACACTATTGCTGTTATTAAACTAGTGGTCTGTGTTCTGTTGTTGTTTTTCACTTTACTAACTAACTGGTAAAGTTTGCTACTACAAAGATAAACTGCACAGATAACGAAGAGTAGTGAGCATACTTCGTTAATCCAAGCTACCGCTTCTTCCGATGCCTCTACGACACGCTATCCAATACATAAATATATTTGTTGAAATTTAGAGTGAATTTCTAACGATGCATAGTACTCATACACTAACCACTACTCCCTAAACGCCCTCTTTTTATGTGAGAACAATCATATCCTTTACATCCTTTATTACAAGCCGCCTTACATGTCCGCCGGAGTAACTAAATAGGTAAACACCGCGACTACCAAGTCAGCTCGGTCGGTAAAGGCGTAACACTTTTATATTCGGCATACGCTGCGTCCACGACGTTCCCATTTCTCTTACCTTCCTTCTACGAGTGATGGGTCATATTTAAAAAAAAGATAAGGCGTTTGCTGAACTCAGAAGTAGAAACATAGGAAGAAGGGCATAATAAATTAATCTGAACAAGAAGGTGATCAAACTGCGACTATACCATCGGCATGACATTAAATAGCACCAAACATGCGTTAGGAAATTTCTCAAATTCATTGTATTATGTGCTCACCGTTTAAATAGAAACGTCATATTTAAAATCTCTATTGAAGACTACGTCTGTCCCACATTTAATGATAACACGTATCGCTGCGAACATCACAATGCATATTTTTCTAAAGTCTCCACATACCCTAATCTGATTTCGAGTTATGAAGGGCGAATAATCAAAATGCTGTATGTAGGGGAGATTATGTAGTATGTCTGCGTTTTAAAGTTAGAGTGTCCATCTTTTCCTCCTCAGTAGATACGGAGATTGACCCTTAAGATGCAAACGTTGAATTAACTAATCATACTAAGCTTATCGATTAATATCATCGAATATGCTACTGGATCTGAAATATATGGAATCGTATGTTACTCGGATTTTTAAGGAAATTAACAAGAGTTTCAATTGAAACAACTTTGATTAGTTTGAATTGATATTGAAGAAAGCAATCTCTAAAATGGTTTGACGTTTAAAGAATGATATTTTTATTTATTCATTCCTTTTCCATTATGCTTACTAACATTTGTGATTTCCCAGATGTTAGTGAAAGTTTCAGAGAAACTTGTTTCTTTTTGTTCTTTTGGAAGATTAACAAATCTAAAATTGTGTTTTCAGTATGCATGAAACTGCATTTATACCTAAGTAAATATTAATTTTTTTTTTTTTTTTCAACTCTCTACAAGGAGTACATAAGCCGAGAAAGTTATATGTAGCGCTTGAAATTACGTCACACAAAGCAAAAGAAGATGAAAAAGAATTTTGAGTATTAAGCTTGATTAAGATATACATGTAGTGTAAGTATTGCTAGCAAAACGCAGTAAGGTGTAAATATTTTTCAGAACAAAGAAAGTCTTTTTCGATTTTTATGATTTTTCTTTTCATTTTCTATTGAATTGAGTCGTGATTGTGAAACGAAATGATTTGAAAATTCCTTTTCCTTAATAAATATTTATATTACTAAAAAAAGATGTGTTTGATTAAACATAGAAGACCAAATTCGCGAGACATTCCACACCCATAGGATGCA